TCCAAGAAGTGTTTGATTACCTGTAGCATCAGGAAGAGCTATCAGTGTCAAAGGGAAGGTCCGTCCTTCAAGGCCAAGTTTCACACAAGTTGTGTAAAAATCTTTCATTGTTTGGCTTGGCATCAGTAAGACAAACAGTGCAAAAGGATTTCTCGAACTCTACCCCATCTTCTTTCAAGATTTGGTACAGTTATTCACCAGCAATTGAATGACTTGCTGCACTAACCGCACAAGTTGTGTCATATATTCCATTGATGGAGATATTCATCACTGCAGTTGTCTTAGTAGTGCCTAAATTTTGTATACAAATATTGTCAAAACGAGCTGAGGCTGAGATCTGGGCATTTTGGCATGGCTAGTGCCTAATTTTTGTATACAAGTATTGTCAAAACGAGCTGAGGCTGCTGACAATCTGGGCATTTTGATGTAGCAAATTTAACTTTGCCACAACCATAGCAAGAGAGGGTTGGTGTATCTGTTGCATTGGTATATGTCTTCTTCACTGGTGTGGATTTTGGGATACCACCTTTCAAAATGGAAGTTTTCTTTCAATTTGGTGAGATTGCTACTTTGCTTTGATTATTATGTAAACAATCGTAAGTGTCCAACTTTTCTGCTAATTTTGCGGTCGAGTTTAAGTTCGGCCAAATGTCCAAAAAGTGATCTCTTATTACTTGAGAAACTCTCTTTTTTTATTTGGTCAGCTATAATGAGCTGCTTCAAATCATCAAATTTTGTAATGCTTAAATCTCTAAGCCAATTTTCAAAATAACTGGTCAGTTCAAAGTGGAAATCACGCCAAGTAGTTTCTGTTTTCTTCCGATGTAGAGTGAACAGTTGTCAGAATTTATCAGCGGTGAACTTATTATCTCTTTGGAAGTATTTTCTTCATCTTTTGGTAATCTCTTGATTCCTCTTCTGGCTCACGAGTAATCAATTTTCCAATTTCAGTTGGTAATGATCCCACTAAATATGGAACCTTTAGAAACTTTAGTTGTCTCTCAAAAAGATTTAGGAACAAGGCCATGTCATTATCCTTAGGATCATATTTAGGTAAAATTTTCTCAAAATCCCTTTTTTTTTTTTTTTTTTTTTTTTTTTTTTTTTAAATTATTTCAATCTCAACAACAGGACCTGCTGTAGTGGAGAGGGGTGTCTTCTGAACTTCAAGTTGAAGTCTCAAAAGTTCCAATTCATAAGCTCGCTCTTCTTCTTTTTCTTTGCTTAATTTCTCTTTCTTAGCAGCTTCTTCTTGAGCAGTATGTTCTAATTCAGCTTGTTTGTTGTTATATTAACATATGTTTCATTAAATCTTCATTGTAACTATCGGATTTCGTTACGAGTTCTTTTCATTGTATCACTTCTAGATTGTCTGCCACGACTAAATCCAGTTCAAGGGCAAGAAGTTTTAAATCTTCTTTTCTCACCCTACCAAAAAAGGACATTTTTTCTTTTGCGAAATTTAAACACAGTCGTAAAGTCTCAGTTATAGTTCACACACTATGGCTGTTAAAGCCTAATGTTCTAATTTTATACTTGTTTGAATTTTAAATGTATTTAAATTCGTCCCTCAGTCCTTAGATATTGTTGTTAATTTTAAGCACTTAGGGTCATACAAAAGAAATCAACTTCGCAATAACTAGAAATAAACACTACTAGTTCACGATGCTTACAATTCACACATTTGTCAAAACTTAGTATCAATTAAAATTCTAATACTACAAATAATCAAATATTATTCAATAGTTTTAAGTCAAGATTACTTATCTTATTTATACACATTGGGGTAGATGTTAGCAATGCATCTCTGGGGTAAGAAGATCCATTCCTTTCATATAAGACAACAAAATGGCTATCGTAACATCTATATGAAATAGCCCAAAACAAAAGTAAATTCAACGCGTTCTGCAACTCAACAACTGCTGCCTCGAGTTGGCTGCCAATTTTCCTTGTATTACATCCTTAGAAAATCAATTAACCAATTAGGAGATAATTTTAAATGTCGTTTTATTAAAACCTAAGAACAACATACAGGGAAACAATAAAACTGAAAAAGGAATTACATTAAATAGTTCTTTTCAAGTTCAGAGCGTGAGTTCAAATCATCACATCTCACTTCTGCAGCTCGCATGCATTGAACTGGGTATTTTCTCTGTATCGGCAGTAGAACGTGTTGCTGACGATATTCATTTGTTACAGTGTTAGAATTTAGTGGGTGTTATTCAATATTTTACGTAATTAAAATTGGTATGTTTATGATATTTTATTCAGAAGCTTTAAAAAATAATTAAAATTTTCAAATAGTATATTTTTAGAAATTTTTAATTTAAAGCATTTTAAAATATGTACAAACAAATATATTAGAATGCAATTTCTCTAGTGCAGCAGTTAAAAACTAATGGGTGGGAGACTAAGGACATAAAACAATTGTAGTTCTTTCTAAGTTCTGTTCTCATTTATGGAATGGGTGAGCTACATGAAGATGTTTTTTTCCCTGATGTATAACATTTATGCATGCCGATTTCTCTTAAAATGTCTTCTTGAAAGCAGCCTTTCTCTTAAAATAGGTACCTTTAGTAGGCCTTGTCATAATCAAATAATCCAATAGTCCATAATCATAGTCAAATAACTCATCACAGCCACCATTAATTTTTATTCTGTAACACTACATCCAATTTGGACTTTTTAAGTTGAAAGCATGAATGAATCCTGCCAAAATCTACCATGTGGAATGAGTAGACATGTTTGTCTTTTGGGATTTTTTATTCAAACTTAACAATTGAATGACATATTAAACATATCAGGAACAATATAACAGTTTTAATATGGAGAAAAATTTCAATGGAGCAGACCACTTCAATTCATTACCAGATCTAAAACTGTTCTCAATTCCTTTTGGCACTTCTATTTCCCCTAAAGACAGCAAGTCTGTTGAAGTTCCACTGTTGGAAACTCCCTTTATGGTCATTACATTTTATTGTCTAAAAAAATCACTGTCCAATTGGTGTAGTGGTTAGTGATACTGACTGCCACACCGATGGGTCTGGATTTGAATACTGGAGAAGTAATAGATGTTCGTAAGTGCATAGTGTATGCTTCAGTATGCACAGTAAGCCAAAAGTTTTCTCATGGTTGACGGTACGAGAAGATGGGTGGGAGACCCTTGAAGTGCCCTCAAGATTGTAACATTCATAATCATTCACTGCCCTCAAGAGAGCAATATTCATAATACATACAGAGTAATATTCATAATTACAAAGCAGTTAATATTACTCTGTATGGAGTGTATTATGCTTTATGTATACAATGCTGTGGGTTGCCAAACAAAACACCTGTACTTTGTATGTTGCATTCACAGCAATAAGTAACAACTGCATGTTTTCACATTTTGTATTTTTTTCATTGTGTATTTTTAACAGTTTGTTTAAGCTCTTTGCATTAAGAATTAATTGCATATAATCAAGAGTTATTACCAGTGTGTATGCTATATAATCAAAAGTAATGTTCAGTGTAATATATAGCTAACACTCACAGTGTATTAAGTGTACAAATAAGTTTTGTAAGGTATCTTAAATATAGTGCGATGTTCAATGTAATTACGTATTATAAAAATTGTAATGTATTGAATGTTTTATATATAGCAATGTGTTAATGTGCAATGCAAACAGGAGATTATTTAATTACAAAGTTATTTTTGGTATGTTTTCAGAATACAGCAAAATATATGCAACAGTGAATTTTTAGCATAATGTTATTTAATCAAAAGTAATATGGACTGTACTGTGTCCTCAAATCTATTATCTGTATTTTGTATATTATAAGCACAGCATAAAGTAACTAATGTGTCTTTATATGTATAATTGTGTAATTTGTTTGCAATGTGTAATTTTGCTCTTTATTTAAACCTGCTGTATCAAAACCTATGTCTAATATAACCAAGTTATGTACTGTATAATCAAATTATGTCTTATATAATCAATTCCATTATTTAGAATATATGTTGAATTGCCAAGAGTTACGTTCAGTATAATATGTAGCATAGAAAATATAGTGTATTAAGTGTAGCAATGAGTTCTGTAAATGTGCCTTAAGTACAGTGCAATGCACATTATAAAATGTAACAAGTGTGAGTAGTAGTGTGTTAACATGTGATGTAACCAGGAGAATGTTTAATTCTGCATGAAGAAAAATCTGATACTTTGTCCTTGTATGGCCATGTAAACTCTTGATTTCGGAGTGTAGCTTTAGATAATTGTGGGATCCGCATGATACCTGATTAGTCTATGCAAGCTGCCCAGACCTGCTCTCACCTGTCACCTGCCTTTAAGCGTGTTCTCGATCAGAACTTGGGCGGAATTTAGCAAGTTCTGGAGATACCCAATGTAGATTTGAGAATGCACAAGTCCTGGCATTGCTTCAACTTGTAACTATACCTGTCTGTAATAACTTCTAGGAGTTGGTTGAAATTCTTACTTCTCTTCTCATAGAAAAAGAAATCTGTTAATTATAAGCACGTGCTATAATGTTATACCAGGCTTTAGAAGCCTCTGAGATAGCCTGGGAAACTCAAATAACTTGAATGAACATCATTTCAGTGGTTCAGAGTAAGAAAAATACTTGTTGGCTAGATGTTGGTATTACATAATTTTGCTCAACTGTGTGTGTATAGTTAATGAAATATACATTTAGTTTATTAACCAATGGAAAAAATATTTTCTCTTATTTCCTTTTCCTGTATGTTTCTTTTTTCACTTTATCTTTTTAATTATTTGTATATTTTGGATTGGTTGCTAACTATAAATCAATTTCCTGAACATTATAGAAGAAATTTCATGTATAAATATAGATTATTTCCCTGAAAATGTTATATGTTGAAGTTTTATGAAAATTAGTATTATTTGTTTAAATATCAATTGATTAGTGAGTTAGTATGTATTAGTTACCCCCATCATGCTTATATGACTGTTAAAATATCTTCTGATTATTTTTTCTTATTGTAGTTCCAGGGTAAAGACAAGTTCATGATTGCATTTCTTTTATTTGTGGATGGCATCTGCAATTTTGCACAAAATATAGTTGCCTTTAGTATTATTTCTCTAGTATCCCCTCTGACCTATTCAGTATGTAGTACAGCTAAGAGAATATCTGTAATTGCTGTTTCTTTAATATTGCTTGGGAATCCAGTTACAGCATTTAATTTCTTTGGGATGATGCTTGCAATATTTGGTGTTCTTGTATATAACAAAGTAAGTACAATTTATTATTTATAGTTGTTGTATGTACATGAAATTAGTATTTCATTATTAAATTACTTTTAATATTTTTAATATTAATAAATTTGTTTATAAATAATAAACTTATTTATTAAAAGTTTCGCTTTAAAACTTTTCATTATTATTTAATTTTAAGCTGAATCTACTCTTCAATATTAGAACTAAGACTAACGATATAACAATTTTTTGTGTCGTTATTTTATCAACTTCTGTGAGAAATTTCTTAATTATAACCAAAGCAATTTGTTAGTAATAGCCATTAGTTTAGAATATGAGTTAACCTCCAGTCCAGTAATTAATTTGTTGAAAAACTGAATCATAGTTGAATAAAAATGCAGCTTTGTAAAATTGCATTTGGAGAATTTTTTTTATAAATACAATTATTATGATTTGAAAAATTGTGTGAATAAAAATCTGTTATGTCTTGAAATGCAAAACAAAATGAATAATTAGCTCAAAGTATGTGTAATCAATGTTATATTTAATGATGTTCATTCATCAGTACTTTAGTCTTTTTTTTTTTTTTTTTTTTTTTTTTCTTCACTCCTGTAAATTTTAAGAAACTGCCTGCAGAATCACAGATTTCAGGAGTGTTATATAAGTGTGTAAGTTGATTTACTCATAACTGTAAGAAATGTTGAATGTGCTGTTTTCTCAATTAAGAAAAAATTTTATATTTTCAGGCTAAATATGATGCTAATCAAGCAAAACTCAAAGCTGCATCTCTTCCCTATACTACAAACAGTGAAACAAATTTACTTTTGAAATTTGATGATTTTCATCACAGTCCTGTGATAAATAAACTCTATCCACCTGAACTGCCAAAGAAAAATGGATATATACGATTGCATAAACTAATGAATGGCTCACCTAGTTTACAAAATTTGTAAATTTATTCATTTCAAGGCATGAAATTTTCCTTTCACATTTTCATCTTTTTTAATAGATTTAAAAACTGTTATAAATATTTTATATTTCATTTTGCTTTTCATGAGGAAAACAAAAATCCATTTGGTCACTGTATAGAAATTTAAATTTGTTAAAAGAAAATATTTTACTTATTAATATACTTAAAATTTCTGTGCATGTATAAAATTTCGATACCTTCCAGATGTGGTAGATCTTAAAAATGCACATTTTGTTTATAAAGATCTGTTCCTTGTTAATAGAATCTTGTGTGGATTGTTATTTATAATATTAGTAGCATTTTAAACTGTTATTGACCATATAAATTTATTTTGATCCTTTTATGGGATATTGAAATCTTTTATATTCCACCAGGTGTTTTTAATTTATCATCATTATGAGAATCTGAATTTACGAGCATATTTCAGACAGTAAGTGTATGAATACTGCAAAATAATTGTATGATGTCTGTATAAGTTAACTAAAGGATCTGAGTGCATGATCAGGTTTTTGCTTTTCAGTCAGTATTACATACATTCAAGGAATAATTGAAATTTCTGTCAGATGCTTTATGTTAAATAATTATTTATGATTATATTTTAAAAGAAGTTATTAGAAAGTATCATAAAAGATTTTCATAATACAAGTTGTTTTCTTGAAGAATTTAATAAAGTCAAAAGATTTCTTCTGTAAGTATATTTTTTGTGTGCAGTAAGATTAATTTTAAAGTTATATCTTGCATATATACTTTTGACGATAATATAGTGTGCCAGTGTCAGTCAATTATTTTTCTCATATGGGGCACCTAAAATGCTGTTTTTAAGTATGAAAATGAATACAAATAATGAAGAATATATGAATGAAAATGATTCTATTAATTAATTTAACCCACAAAATTTTTAATTCCACTTAACTTTCAATGTCTTTCATATTCAAACATGTGATAAAGTGGTGGGAAAAAGAAATGATTAAAAGAATAGTCACTTTTATTGGTGCCATTAAGAAATAGATAAATAATTAACTAATAGCATTAGATTGTACACTACATCATTACCATAATTTTGCATAAACTTATGGATTGCATTTTGTTTTATTTATTTGTATAGTTCAAATATTCAATCTTAAAACATTGTAAGTTATAATTAAATTGAGTTTTTAAATGTCTAAATGTTTTCATAGTTCTTTGTATAATAAATCATCTGTCAATGAAATATTTATACTCTTCTGATCATAGAACTTTAATCATAAATTTGTAAAATTTTCATTTATTTTTTGTGATCTAATTACAAATAATGCAGTACTGAGTATGCTAAAAATATGGTTCTACATTTACAATTTACTTAAACAATTTTGTTATTTTACATAATTTAGGTGTTTTTTCCTTAAAATATTTTTTGGAAATATTTATTATGATTTTTGCTATTTTTATTATTAAAAATATTTTGAATCTAACTTATTTATTTTTGCCGTGAATATTTCGTGTAAATATTGTTTGGTTTTAAATTGTTGAATTTTTAGTATTTAATTTTCAAATTTGTATATAGTGCTGGTGTGTTTTTTGCTTTTATCATAAAATTGCTTCTATGCATACCTTAACTAAACTACTACATTATATACTTTTTAATTTATTTTTTTTTCTTCTTCATTAGATATAAAAATGTTTGATAACCATTAGTTAGAAAAATTGATGAAGTTTTGTTAAAATATCTGAAAATTAAATTATAAGCATTTATTATTCTTGAATGCTATTTATTATATTTATATAAATAAATAACATAAGTAAAACTTCCAAACTTCATAAAATGAATTCTTAACATTAGTTTGTGAAGTTTGCTGTAAATTTTGCATGAAATAAGGGTTTTATGTAGTTTCAAATTCTTTTGATTTATGCGTATAGTTGAATATGTATTATATAGTATGTATCACATATTTAAAATTTGAAACTATGTTGTTTGCTTTTCTAAATTTTAGAAACCTTTATCTTTCAATAATGTTAAAAGTATGAATATTTTTAATTTATCATTTATTTATCACATTAAAAATTCATAGATTTTATGATTGATAAATGTTTTAAATATAAATTTTGATATAAAGAAAAGAAGGCATTTATCTCTTATAAATTATCTGAATCTATTTGAGGTAGATAAAACAAATCAAATAATTTTAAAGAATTAGCGAGTAGCTGATTTTGTAATATTTTGTAAAATAAATTTTTGGTTAAGTATTGAAAGGCTAATAAAATGTAACTTTCTGTAGCAGTTTAATAGTATGTCAATTATGCATATGGGAGAAAAAATTCAGTCTGAAAATTCTTATTCTCATGTTTAAAAAATTATCAATGTTATTTTTAAACTAAGCTTAAAGCATTTAAGAGCATTGAACAAAAGGTTTTAAATTTTCTTCAAGTTTCAAAAATGTATTTATGCATTTAATGAGTAGTATAAACAATTGTTATGTTTCATTATGAGTACAGTTTTCATCAACTGTTGAAATACATTAATATAAAGTTTCTGTATGAGAATTTTACTCATGAATAGTCATGGGGGTATGTAAATTTTGCCATCATGATTGTATATTTTTAGAACATTTTAAAACTTTTCAGCTATTTTTGCTTGTTTCATGACTGATATGTTTGTTTTTATATTCTAAGAAGATGTAAGGGTAAATGTAGGCATGAAGCAAATGTTGATTATAGTAATATTTCAAAAATTTTCAAACTCTATCCCAAATATTCAGATTTATAGAATAAATTCTTTATATATTCAAAGTTGTATTCATTCTTTGTGTTGCATTTTTAATAATTTTTTTTCCCAATGGCAGGCATTAATTTTAGGCATTGACCATTACTAAGACCGCAAGCGCTGGTCACTTTATTATGGAGGCACCTAACAAGTGGGCCATCATTGCCTCCTATGAAGAGATAGACAATTTAAATGCATGCTTTTTCCAGGATTTGAACTTGGTTCTTCGGTACAGCAGTCAGTCACTAACTACATTCCCATCTGGGTGGCCATTTTTAATACATGAAATGTACATAAAATGACCTGCTGTGCATAATAAAGGGCTTTCAAACAGTGCTCAGATTCAAAACTGGTTGAGTGCATATTTGAATGTAAAATTACTGAAGCATGTGAACAAAATATGGTTTACATAGTTTTATACATAGTTGAGAAGCACACATTTTCAACTTTTAGCATGCTAGTGATATGAATGGGACCTAGACGCTAAGCAGATTAGGAAATCATGTTATGCTAGCAAAAAAATGTAATTTAGTTTATGATTCAATTCGATTTAACTTACCAATTTAATTTTTGATTGGCATCTTTCCTTTGTATCTCATTTCGTCACATATTCGCTCAGTCCAAAGAATACTGAAGATTTAATTGGCAGGTGGCTTAGTATAAAGAATTTGTAAACATATGATATCATAACCGTAATAGATTAAGGTGTGGCTGTGAAGAATGTATGTTGTGCTTGCCTGCTATTTAACAAATGATGCTGCAGTATGGAATTAAAATTACCAGATGTTAGCCTTGACGATAACCTTTTATGTAGATTTTAGGTCATGTGATCAAAATTAATAGCCTTGATAAGAAATGCCAAAGCAACTTGCTAGGCAACCACCTGAAGTCATGACAGGCACCCTTAACCCTGTTGAAGATTCATCCAGTCATAGTAGAATCATTAACGGCTTAGTTAAAGACGATACAAATGACACAAATTTAGTCAGTATTAAATTAAATGCTAATAACGATCTTGATTTCTTGGGATTTTTAGCAAATATTGAGCAGCTAAAATCCCTGCATAATCAGTTCAAAGATGATAACATTTCCCAAGCTAGCATGCAAGTAGCATATAGATCATGGAGTTAATGAATAAGTTCTAATCAGGAAGTTTTCGTCCTGCGGGACCGTTCGCATCAAAACGAACACAATTTCTTAAGGTCTCCCGCCTTCTGTAATATTGAAGTGCAACTCTCTGAAGTCGGATTCTTTATCCCTGAACACAATGTGGGCATTTTTCTTGGGAATGAAACGCACCTAAACAGGTGCGATTAAATTTCTGCGCCAAATTAATAGTATTACAATGTATGATAGGACCACCAACAAGAAAGGAGGAATCCTGATTTTCATCAAGTACAGTATTAAATTCTCACCGTGTCTTCTCCTTAACGTTAATACCATTAGCATCGGCATTTTTTAATAGATAACTGTCAGGTGCAGCTAATGATTTTCATCGCTGCCTACAACCCTCCTAACAAAGGAATTAGCACTGGATCAACTCTTTAACTCAAATCTGCGTACGATCCTTGCAGGAGACTTAAATAACAAAATCATTAGCTTGGAACAGTAGAAGAGAATATTTAAATGGTAGCAGGTAATTCCTAGGTCCATTCTTCGACATACTATCCAGTGATGTTAATGCAGAGATAGCTTTTAATGATCTGATGAATAACTGCATTAACAATGCCTTTATGATGATCAGAGCACCAAAAGCATTATCCTACCACAATCTGTTCTGGACTTGATTTAAGACAATTTTGCTGATGACACGATGGTCTTCACAAATGCATGAATGCCAACAGGGCTTTCAGAAATCTTCAGCATATGTTAGATAACGTCGAAGAATGGTGTAGTAAGTAGAGATTTAAAATCCATACAGACAAGTACTTCTCCATGTTACTCAAAAAGCACAAAGTGTGGAGTCAAGTTAACACAAGTCTCAGGGTATGTGTAAAGAGCATAAGTCGGGCAAATTCAGGAAACTAAATACCTAGGTAGGATGTTCGACCAAACGCTCAGCTTTTAAAGCGCACATCGGCTATATACTTTACAAGGCCAATGTGGTCCTGATGGGCCAGTTCGCTATAATAGGTAAGAATTCGGTATTAGCCATCGATTATCAAACTTCTAATTTATATTATCACGACCATTTTCATGTATGCTTCTCCCGCATGGACTATTGCAAAGCCAACGTACAGAAAAAAAAACTCCAGTCAATTTAAAATAAGCGCTTCGGGATCATGGACCTGGGACACTGTGAAGAGATCTGACTGGAGGGACTAGGGAAATACTTAAAAGGTGACGAGTTTGTCGATCAAATAAACACCAAAGACCGTTTTCCACACTATTTCATGGTAATGGTAATTCACCCGCTACTCCAGGGCGATAAATTTTCTGCGTGTGTACAGTGTATTGCTCGATGCGTTGAATCATATCCAATAAAGTTTACACCTCGTGTACATACACGCCACAAATAAAAGAAGAGGAAAGATGATTCTGAGAAAAGACGATTGTTCTATTGAAGACCAGTACGATTGCTTAATTAAAGACATACTCAAATTAGATAATTGCTATCATGACTGCGATTTTGAAAAAATGAATATGGGGGAAGATGAGGAAAGGGAGGAAACTTTTAGTAACGAAGAAATTTTTAATACTATTATTAATCTTAGGACTCGTACGCCCTCCGGACTGGATAGGACTGTACTGGTTAAGAACTACTTGTTTAAAGAGTATGCTACTTTTTATATATTATTATTTAATAAATGTTTATGAGTTTTCTCTGATCGCTGTAAAATGGGGAAATTGGTTTTGATCTCTAAACATTCTAGAAGGTTAAGGCCAATTTGCTAATTACGTATTCATGCAAAAATTATGAATAAACTTTGACTAGCCGGATAAACTTTATTTTAGCAAATAATTTTATTTGTGAGAATCAATATGGCTTTCAGAAATATAAATCATCTGCATTGGCGTTGCATAAGGTTGTCCAGCTGGTCAGGAATAAAAAGGATAAACAACATGTAGCCCTGGTCTCATTCGATGTTCGAGGTGCTTTCGATTTCATACGCTGGACCTCTTTACTCTCCATTCTAAAAGAAATTCTTATTAACAAACAATTGTTTGATATTATTAAATATTATTTGGAGAACAGAATTATTGACTTTAATGGTAACTGAAGTCAATAATTCTGTTCTGAAGAAATAAATTTGAAACATAAGATTAATCGTGGATGTCCCCAAGGTTCCTGTAGTGCTTCCCTGTTCTGGAGCCTTATAGTTAACAAATTGTTGCATATTAACATTGTGAATATTGGTACTGTTTACTAATTCAGAAGTCAACCAACAAAAATCAGTGTTATATTTTCAAAATTTTCACATTTCATTTTTATTTGTTTCACTCTGATGGGATATATATGAAAATGTTATTTTGCCAAAATTTCTTTATGGAATAAGCGCTTGGGGTTGTTGGACAGGGATGCTAGTCAGGCTTGGATCCAAACTTGATTCTTTGTAGAGGGCCTGGTTGCTTGCTATTACCAGATGTTTCTGTGCAGTCTGGACTGAGGTGATCTGCGTGTTGGCTGGTGTGCCACCTCTTTCACTAAGTTACAAAGTTTATTACGATGAATTTCTATTTAGACTTGTTCCTTATATTTCATATGGAAATACAGATCTTCATAGTAACGCTTTTGAGCAGATACAGGATAATGGTATTCACCCTCGAAATGTATTCGGAATTCCATTTTACAGAGATATTCGAATTGATGCAGAAATTGAAATTTATATTGATGGGTCGTGATATGAGGGGTTTTTCGGGGGTGTTTTTGCGGTATTTTTTTAATTGTGTAGAGATTGATTTTAAAAAAGTGAATGTGAAAACTATTAATTCTATGGATTGACTCACATTTGCGAGAATCATATTCAATTTATCTATATTCAGACGCTTTGTCTGCCCTGCTGGAGCTCTCCCGCCCGACTCATAGCAATGAGCTTATGAATGAAATGAAATGTTTATATACAAAACTGAGAAGAAAGCACAGATTATACCTGCACTGGGTTAAATCGCTCTCTGGTTGTGTGTGGTAATTATAGGGCAGATACACTGGCCAAAGAGGATGCCCTGGGGGGATGGAACCATTTTTCATGATATTCAAGAATCAAGAAAAAAGACTAGTACCATTATGAAAGATCATTTGTTGAAACATTGGAAGGATAGGTTTGAGACATCTGAGAAAAATATTAATTATTAAGTAAAAAATTACTATTATGAATAATATGGACCTTAACCAAATAATTGCCAATCATGGTAGGTTTCTCGCCTATCTAAACAGATTCCACCTCCAGGAGAACTGCTTTTGCAAAATATGTAATTCTTACCGAGATGCAACTCATTTTATCGAGGACTGTGTATTACCAAGGGGTGTGAGGGCAAAATATGGATCATTCAATACGCAAGATTTGAATAAATGCTAGGGAAATAATGAACATTATTAATATGAATAAGAAGTCTATTGGAATTGAGAACTAGATCTACTTTTACTTTTGCTTTTATTTGGAATGGGCTATGTATGTGAATGCGGTCTGTGACGAGTTTCATTTAATTTCAACAACTCTATTATATTTTAATTTTTTAGACTCGTTTTGCGTGAGTGTTGATTTAATTGATTGGCTTTGCAACCTTTTGCTAACAGTAATTTTGAGTTTGCTATGCCTTTGTGTGTGTGTGTGTGTGTGTGTAAATTCCCCCCTCCCCATTACTCAAGACCCTAACCTGGTTTCTCTGGGGCTAGTTTTTGTTGATTTGGTCTTTTTTGGGGGGAAGGGCGCAGGCAGACTGCTGGCTCCCTCGTTTTTGATTGGATTGACAGGTCCTCCTTTTAGTCATATGGCCGGCTAGGTAGGCTGAGATAGCTCTACGGCGACCAAAGAAAAGTGTCAGCAGAATATTTACAACAAAACCATTCGTTTGGTTTAGTTTATTA